GTTGGGGCTCGCTGGAAAGCCTCGGAGGTCATGTTGGGGCCTTCCTGGGAGAGGTAGCTAAGAGGAGGGGGTGTTCTTCCTTGAGGCCCCCCCCTCCCCCGCTGGAGGCCTACATGTGGACAGCCTGCAAGTAAAACGGGTGCATTGGGCTTGTTCGCCGTGGCCTCTTGGGCCGTCTCGGTTGCCTTTTTTTTTTTTTTTGGGGGTGCCTACGGGGCACCTCTTGGGGGCCATTTTGGGGCCATCTGGGGGGAAATCAGTCAAAGGACGGCCGTCGTAAAATTTCTCACCGCCTCCCTAAGAGGCTGTTTGGAGTCCCGAAACGGTGCGGTGACAGACCGTGCGGTGACCTCGAAATCCCCCAAGACCTCACCGCACGGTCCGTCAACGCACGGTTTTGGGACCTCGGAGGCCTTTGTCGCCCGAGACATCCTCGGAGAGAGACTCGAGTCCCAAAACCGTGCGGTGACCCCGAATCTCCACCGACTCACCGCACGGTGCGGTCACCACCCCGTTTGGGCCCCCCCGAGCAGCGGCTGGCCGATGTGTGGTTAAAATGTTACTAACATCAGTGACTTTGGTTTTCGCTTGGCGCTTTAACGTCTCGCGAAACGCACCGTTCAAACCCAGGGGGAGTTGGGAGAGGGGTAAACCCGTTGCCGAAGGGAAAGAAAGCGGGTGGAAGAAGAAGCTCGCTAAACCCTTCACGCCTTGGCGGGCCAGTGGGATTTCAATGCTGTCCCTCCGACCCCCCCTCGCCAACGCCTCCAGCCACGATCTGCGAACCGTCTCTTGTCGGTGAAGCGGAAGACTCGAGTTCTCCATAACTCGGGTTTGCCAGCGTTTTTAGGCAGGCCCGTCCTGGACTCTGACGGCCCAATTCCCGTGGGAAGTTTGAAGCAGGAACCCGCGTCAATTTTCAGATTGGGTCTCGTCATTTTTTTGGCATCCCCGTCAGGCCAACCCGAGTCCCCCGAACCCGAGTGCTACGTCTTCCGTTTTTTCGACGGCGAGCTTGGGGGTGCAATGGAACGGGGGGGGCCTTCTCAGAATGCTCTGGGCCTTTTCAAGTTGTTGAGGCCGTCCCCGAAGAGACCGGAAACTTTTCACAAGGCGGGAGGGCCTTTGAGGAGCCCCGATGCCTTCTGAGAAGGCCTGCCCACTCTCACTTCCCCCAGACGCGCCGCCGACTTACACGCCCGTCGTTGGAAGTAGGTATTTCTGGAGACCCAGATTCCAATCCAAGCGCTTTTGTACTCCAAGAGTCGATATGCTTTTGCTGTGGTGTGTTACCTCCCTGATGTTGGACGCCCTCCTGCTCGACGCCCCCCCCCCCTCCTCTGGAGGCCGTAGTCGCCGCTGCGCGCGTGAACGAGCAGCTGCGCACGGCCGCGCCGCCTCCGGGCTGCGCCGGGCGCTCCCCCCGCGGCCCGCGGCGGGTTGCGCGGCGGCGGCGGCTCGGGAGGCTCAGCAGGAGGAGTGTGTGTTTGTCACCCTCTTGGGCCATGACGCACGTTATGCTCCCCCCGTAAATCACGGAACGATCCTCCCCCCCCCCGTCAGTGCGAGGCTCAAAGAGTGTTTGTTGTTACCCTCTGGGCCCTAACGCACGTTGTGCTCCCCCCTTTGCCCTCCCCTGAATCATGCAACGCTCCTCCATCCCCCCCCCCCCCAGTGCGGTCGCAGCACTGCCGCCCGCAGGACGTCCTGCACCGCAGCCTGTGGTACTGGACCCACACGGTGGGAGGGGTATTTTATGTTATGCCCCCTCCCGCCCCCCCACTTCCCCCCGCCATAGCGCCAGTGATCGCCGCGAATAAAAAAAATCTCTCGTTCTCTCTCTCTGTCTGTCTTTCTCTCTCTCTCTCTCTCTCTCTCTCTCTCTCTCCTTCGCCGAGGAGGAGGAGGAGGAGGAAGAGCGAACGAGCAGCAGGAAGGCGTCCGAGTACACGAGCACCCACTGGTGTGAGACCCGAGGAAGTGCTAGTGGCGGCGGAAGAGCGAAGCCTGGGAGAAGGGTGGGGCGCCTCCAACCAGGCGAGCAGCAGTCGTCAAACCAGGCTCAGCAGGAGGAGGATCACGAGGAGAATCTGGAGGACCGAAACGGGTGCGGGAAAGAATGGTGGCGGAGTGCTAGGAAGTTTGTAGTTTTACACATATATGTGATTATAGAAAATATAATCAGACTGTCCTGGAGGATCCAGGAAATCCTGCAGCCCTTTGTTGCTCGAGAAAAAGAGCGACCCTCACCTCCCCCTTTCTCCGCGAGGGGGGGTGGGTGCGCGTGCATGGTAGCGGAGCTCGCTTGAGGTTCGCGGGCCGCTCCGCACCCAGGCGAGCTCCAGGAGCCCCTCGAGAGGGCCCAGCGGCGCGGCGCCGCGGGTCCAGCAGCCGGCGGGACGAGCCGCGCGGCCGCCGAGCGAAGTACCCCTTGCTGGTCAGAGCTGCGGGCAGACCCGCGCTCTGGCAGTGGAGGCCAGCCAGCCAACAAGGGCAAGGGCAAGGCCACGCTGAAGGTCAAGAAGCCGAACAAGCGAGGAGGCAGAGCGGCGGACACGCGCCAGCACCGCCAGGACCGAGGGAGCGCCTTTAGGAAGCTTGCGGCGTGCGGCAACGCGGCGCAGCTCACTCAGGAGGAGCGAGCAGCGGTGAAGAGGCAGCTGGCGAGCGACATCGAGAGGCTGGAGAAGCGTGTCATTGACGTGCTCGTCGACCAAGATGGAGCAGCAGCTGCAGCAACTGGTCGATCAAGTTCAGAGGCTGACGACGGAGAGTCAGAACATGAGGCAGGAGCTTCAGAACAGGGACGTGGCGATCGCAGAGATGAGAGGACAGCTTCAAGGTCAGCAGCAGGCTCAGCAGCAGCGGTTAGCCCCGCGCGGCGAGATGATGGATCCGAAGATCCTTCACAAGGTGAAGCCGTTCGACGGCCAAAGGTCGAGCTGGAAGACGTTCAGCTTCCAGTACAGAGCGTACCTGATCGCCCAGGATCGGAGGTACCGAGATCTTCTGGAAAGGTGCGAGGACGGAGCCCAGGAGGTGGACAACGTCAACCTGGACCCGCAGGAGGAAGAACTCAGCACGCAGTTGTACTACGGCCTGGTCCTGGCCATGCCCGAGGACTCGGTAGGCGAGCTGATCGTGAGGAACAGCCCAGTAGGAGAAGGAGCCGAGTGTTGGAGGAAGCTTCAGAAGGAGTACAACCCGAGCGAGGCAGGCAACGTGCTGGCGATGTGGACCAAGCTCACGGACACGAAGTTCGACGCCAAGGAAGACGTGATGGTGAGCATCAGCAAGCTGGACGAGGACATGGCGAGGTACCAGAAGATGGCAGGAGAGCCCGTCTCGGACCTGATCAAGCGCGGCATCCTTACAAAGGCGCTGAAGGATCACGACGAGCTGCAGAAGCACGTGTTTCGGAACAGCAGTCGGTTAAGTACGTACGAGCTTCTGAGAGCCGAGGTAGTGTCGGCGTTGACGGCAGAGCGAGCGGTTCAGGACGACCCGATGGAGATCGGAGCGCTGAAGGGCGGAAAGAGACCGTGGAAAGGCCGCGGCAAAGGGAAAGACGGCAAAGGCAAGGAGAAGCCATCGAATCCCGACGCCGAGATCGAGTGCAACTACTGCCACAAGAAGGGCCACCGCAGCGCAAACTGCCGAAAGCGGATCGCCGACGAGAAGAAGACAGCCGAGAAGGACAAGAAGGACAAGAAGCAGCTCCGAAAAGAGAAGACAAAAGAAAAGAAGAGGATCGGGGCAGCGGCAGTCAAGGAGCTCGAAAGGTTACGACAGACAGGAGTGGGCACAGGAACAAGCTCGGCAGCACCGACACAACAGATGCTGGGAAGTCAGGGCAGCGCCGACAGCGCGATGACTCAGCAGGTGCTGCGCCCAGTCAACTGTGCGCTGCAAGCGAAGATGATTCTGGCCCTGAGGGCAGAGGTCACAAGAAGCGCAACCACACGATCGACTGGAAGTACTGCTTGCCTGGCTACTACCAATATGACTGCAGCTCTTGCAAGAAGACCTTTGAAGGATGGCGATGGCACTACGCTCAGTGGCAGCTGGACTTCTGTGCCGTGTGCGCCGAGTACTGCCTGGACAGCTGCAAGGACGGGGAAGAGCCAGACGACAACAAGAAGCCAAAGCCAAAGAAGCGCAAGAAAGACTAGATTCGTCGCTGACGGCTGTAAGTGCTGCGATATGCCAGCTGCGGTGAGCCCCGCGCTGGCCGGCCCCAGGCCTGTTACCGTCGCTGGTCTTCGGCCCGTGGATGAAGATCAGAGCCCTGCGGATGACCGATTGCGGTTAGCCCCGCTTCGGAATGCGATCATGCTCGACTCAGGTGCGCAGATCAGTGCGGTACCGAGGTCACAGGTGACCAAGCACAACTACACGCCGACGGACAGCAACGTTGTCGGCTTGAAGGGCATAGGAGGCGAGGAGATCGAGAGGTACGGCCACGTGGAGCTGAACCTATCACGAGGAGGAGAGGTTATTCAAGTCGGTGCTGAGGTTGCCGATGTGGAGTACCCAGTTGTGGCTACAGACGCTGTAGTACAACGTGGTCAGAGTGTTCTTCATAGCCCTGCAGGTCACTGGATCATCAACGGTACCATCGAGCCACCTGACGGAGCTGAGTTCGTACCTCTACGTCGTCACCAAGGCAACTACTACTTAGAGTACGATCACATCATCGACGGCCAGACTCAACCAGAAGCTTCACAGGTAGCTGCAGTACGAAAGACACTACCGAGGAAGGTACCAGCTGAACATGAAGCTGGATCTTTGCCGAAGGTTCTAGGTCCCGAAGCTGATGAGACCACAACTGTGCCAACGAGAGTGTTGAAGACTCCTCACCAACCTAGTGCTGCGGAGAGGGCCGCGCACGAAGGGCATCATCTACCTTTTCGGCCTTGGTGTCCCATCTGCGTGCAGGCTCGAGCAGACGATGACCCCCACTACGCCAAGAACCAGCTGATGAGAACCAGATCCCGAAGGTGGTGTTCGACATCTTTTACGTAGGGACGGACCAGCTGGCTGCGAAGTACAAGCTTAAAGGAGGTTACTTCAGCATCAGGGAGAAGACGTCGGTCACGAAGGCCGAGTTAGACCAAGCGATCTCTGTCTTGAATATTATCGACTGTAAGATCTTGGCTCAGGCGACGTTGTACGCGAACAAGGAGATGGATGACTACAAGGTGTCCTTCCTGCTAGGCGTGCTGGAAGCTTGGGGTCACACAACAGTCATACTTCAGACAGACTCGGAGCCTGCCACCTTGGCTCTGGCGAACGCAGTTCGAGATCGAAGATCACACTCAACCTTGGTGCGGGGATCACCGCCCTTTTCCAAGCAGAGTGCAGGCTACGCTGAAGGAGGTAACAAGCTAGCAGCTGGTCTACTTCGAGCCTACAAGCTGAAACTGGAGCACAAGCTGGGCAGCGAGATCAAGATGACGGATCCGATCGTGCCATGGCTTGTGAACTCAGTGGGGTGGATGATCACCAGATTCCAGCCTCGCAGTCACGGAGGTTCCTCCTACAAGATGCTCTACGGCAAAGAGTACAACGGCGAGATTGCGGAGATGGGTGAGCAGGTCTGGTATCGGATCTCAGCCCGAGTTGCCGCGGGACGTGGCAAATGGGAAGCCCGCTTCGCAAAAGGAATCTGGGTTGGTAAGAGCGAGCTGGACGACACACATCTCGTGATCGATCCTGAACGTGGAGTGCAGAAGGTCAGAACGGTGCGAAGGATGCCTGAGGAGTTCAGGTGGCAGCCCGAGCTCATCCAGCACATCAGGGTGACGCCCTGGAAGCAGACGCCCGACAAGAGTTCAGGAACCATCGGACGCAGTATGTACATCACGGAGCGCATGATCGATGCTCATGGTCCTACCGACGATTGCAGGAAGTGCAGTACAGGATACGGTTCGCATTCGGCAGCCTGCCGTCAGCGTTTCGAGACCATTCAGGCCGACTTGCTGCGCGAGAAGTTGGCGAAGGACCCTGTGGCCCCTGAGGCTACAGTCGTGGTGCCAGCGCCGGCTGCGGGAAGCCCCGCGCCTGGAGCCGCACCCGGAGGAGCAGCGGCATCAAGCAGCAGTGAGGTTGCGGTGAGCCCCGCACCTGCTGCCAGCGACGTAGCTATGGTTCCTGGCCCAGGAGAGGCTGAGGTGCAGACAGCCATGGACACGGAGAGTGGAGAGCTGAGGAGCGACTTTCAGCGAAGTGCCCCAGGTGAAGTTCGTGAAGGAGCTGAGGTCAAGAAGCCCAGGGTAGCAAGCATTGGGCATCTCTCTGTCTGTGAGTTGGCAGTCTGCGAGGAGGGCTACGACGAGAGCTTCGACCCCATGTGGGATCCACACCCAAAGCGTAGTGCGAGATGTTCCGAGAGGTGTGAGAAGCACTCGTCACGATGCCAGCTACGAGAATGCCACCAAGCTGAGTGTGCATGCAGGAGATGTTTGATGAGCCACATCGGCACGATCAGGAGCCACTTAGGAGATCCTGAGGAGCAGCAGGTGGAGCAGATGGTTGAGGTGAGCGCCGAGCTGCATGAGAAAGACCAGTGGAGCCCAAAGACGATACACTACGATTACTACACTGGAGAGCCTCTGGATGAGGACCTGTATCAGAAGGGTCGCGACGACGAGCTGCAGGCCATGAAGGACTACGGGGTCTACGTGGAAGTGGCGACATCGACGGCGACTGACGGCAAGCACATTGGAGGTTTCCCGATAGCCCACATGAAAGAAGGAAAGGTTAGGTGGAGGTTCGTAGCCACCGAGGTGAACAAGTACGAGGTCAGGGAGGATAACCACCAAGGCACGCCCCCGCTCATGATTGTCAGAGCGACGCTGAGCCGTGCCGCTTCAAGTCCAACTTCCAGCGGGCAGCACCTGCGGAAGATACAAGTTTGGGACGTCAGGAAGGCTTTCTTCAACGCTGACTTAGACGAGACGATCTACGTGCATCCTGGGAGAGAGCTGTGTCCGCCCGGAAGGTGCTGGTGGTTACGCAAGGCCATGAACGGTACCAGGAAGGCGTCGCAGATGTGGGGTGAGCTTGTGAGAACTACTATGGACGACGGTCATTGGGACTGCTTGGTTGGAACTCCTAACGTGTTCTACTTACCTGCTAGCCCCAACACAGCCCCCGTCGACGAGGATAGCACAGCGATCTGCCATGGCGATGACTTTCTTGCTGAAGGCTACGACGAGCAGCTGGACGAGCTGGACGAGTTATTGAGGCAGCAGTTTGAGGTCACGGCCAGCGCCAGACATGGACCAGGAGCGGTGGGGCAGACTACATACCTCAAGAGGACGATCGGCTATACCGACAAGTTGCCAGGTTGCGAGGAGCCGGGTTTCTTCTGGACTGCCGATCCTAAGCATGTGGACTTCATGATCAAGTGGACGCAGAAGCGAGGTTGTAAACCAGCTCCCACTCCAGGAACGAAAGCTACAGGACAAGGCCGACGAGACAGCCTAGACCTTCTTTCCAAGGATCGTGCTCGAGAAGTGGCGGGTGCAGCAGGCACCGCTCTTTACCTTTCTTCGGATAGGCCCGACACGATGTACGCCAGCAAGACAGCGATGCAGCACGTCTCCAACCCGAACGTCTTGATGCATGCGCGTGTTCAGCGACTTGGAAGGTACTACGAGGGACAGCCTGTGTTGGTCTGGTGTTACCCACTTCAAGGTACTCCTGAAGGCATTCGTGTAGATGGTGACGCAGATTGGGCACCTACGAGTGAACTACAGCGCCGATCTACCAGTGGAGGAGCTGTGAGGTATGGTGACCACACTTGGGACTGCTACTCAGTGACGCAGAGTACGATAGCCCTAAGTTCAGGGGAATCCGAGATGTACGCTACGGGAAGTGCGACAGCCAGAGGACTTCAGTGTAAGACTTACCTGATCGAGACCCAGAGGCCCTGCAACCTGAAGATCTATAGTGACAGCACAGCTGGACGTGGCATGTGCAGCCGAGTTGGGGTGGGCAAGGTCAGGCACCTGGAGTTGAGGTACTTGTGGATTCAGGAGCGGTTGCGTCTCAAGGCGTTCGAGCTTCACAAGGAGGACACCAGCAAGATGACAGCCGACATGCTCACGAAGTACAGCGAGTGGCCGACAATCGAGAAGCATTGCACCACTCTCAACCTCAGGTTCGGAAAGCAGTTGAAGGGCTTGAGCGCAATGGCAGTTTTCACAGAGGTCGTGACGAAGGCGTCAGGCGAGAAGGTGACAGTGTACGGAGGTTCTGACGAGGTTGCGGTTTGCCCCGCGCCTGTCAGCCACTACGTGGACAGCGAGGAGTTCTGGTTCTTCCTGAAGTTGGGGCTTGTTGTGGTGACTGCAGCCAGTGTTTTTTTACTGGGGTGCTGGTGTGGTTGCTACTTCAAGAACTTCTACGACAAGTTCCTCCTCCAGGGTGCGGTTAACCCCGCCTCTGGAAGCACTTGCACACCATCTGCGCGGGCTGGCGTCGAGTTCAAGACCGTGTGTGTACAGCAGGACAAAGGTGCAAGGCACAAGCTCTTAAGCACGTTTCTTGTAGCTGAGCTGCGAGCTGTCTTGAAGGCCAAGGGCCTGGCCGTGTCAGGGATCAAGGAGGACCTGGTCACGAGGATGATCAAGCACGGATGCGTTCTGTCGGATCGCCAGGCCAAAGCGATCGAGCAGCTACGGGTGATGGCTACAGCGTATGGACCTCTTGCCAAGCTCAGCTTGCAGGACATCAGCAGTCCAGAGGCCGCGCAGAAGTGGATCGAGACGTTCAAGAGCGAGTGCGGAGACCGTTCCAGAGGCTCTCAGGTGATCCACGGAGAGGGCCAGGAGAATGGTCGCAGGAAGCACTACGACAGCCGAAGGTGAGCTTTCTTTTACAGGCTGCGGTTTGCCCCGCGCCTGCCCTCTGCGGGTAGCCCCGCGATGGGCTTAGGTGGCCAGCGCCGTTGCGAGGCCTGCTAAGGGAGCACAAAGTGGTTTCCCTGTGGCTCACTCTTCTCGGCTGGAGGCCGAGCCGCTTCCCGCGCCCAAGGAGAGGTGCTAGGAAGTTTGTAGTTTTACACATATATGTGATTATAGAAAATATAATCAGACTGTCCTGGAGGATCCAGGAAATCCTGCAGCCCTTTGTTGCTCGAGAAAAAGAGCGACCCTCACCTCCCCCTTTCTCCGCGAGGGGGGGTGGGTGCGCGTGCACGGAGACCGTCAGAATGTCCTTGGCATGTTGAGCAGGATTCGCTGCCGGTGTGGCCCTGGACGCTTCATTTGAGACGGAAGCCCGGCTGCCCAACATCTGACGTTGTCGGTGTTGGACAATTTGTGTTGCTGGGCATCGTGCACTTTTTGTCCGTGCCGATTTCGGGTCTCAAGCGGATGGGGAGGCTCAGAAGGAGGAGGAACAGCAGGAGCATAAAGATCAATAGAAGGATCAGTCCGGGCGTCCCAAATGTCGCTGGAGGAGATGGGGTCGGAGGATCGTGCCGCATCGCCGATGCATTGGCGATGCGGCTTGATGTGGAGCCCGATTTTCTGTCCACCGACGGCGCCAATGCATCGCCGACGTTGCCGATGAATCGGCGACGCGGCGCGATCCTCAGACCCCATCTCCTTGGGCCCAACGTAGGAGGCCTCCAAGTCAGGAGCAGGAGGGCCAGCCTGGAGCGCACTGTCGGCGGCGCCGCGGCCGACATCGACCTGCTGTCGCTCGGCCATGCGCCCGCGGCAACTCAGACGCGGGTCGTGCTTAGCCGCGTCGCAGGCTCACTATGATTTGCCACTTGCCGTCCGAGTGGGATCGTTTTTTTCCACGGGCTCGAATCGGCAGTGGCGGTGGCAGGAGGAGGAGAAGCCAGAGGACGAAACCGCGGCGGCGAGGCAGGAGGCTGAGGGGCAGGCCACGAGGTGGATCTGGCCAGTCTTGGGGTTCGGGCGCATAGCTTGGAGCACAGGTCGGCAGCATGCGTAGACAGAGCTGTTAGGATGTCTGCGCGGATCTCCTGCGTCGGCGTCTGACTTTCCGCCCGCAGGAGGAAGGCGGTCCGCGCGAACCTCCCTGCGTCGAGCTCCTGCGGAATGGAAGGTCCTCCTGCACGAGCCGCTATTCGCCGACTGGAAGGCCGCGGACCGCATGTCGGCGTGCCAGGGGATGCTGTCCGAGCACATTTATGACTTGCTCTACGATGGGATGAAGCAGATTCTCCGCCCGAGCGAGTTCTTCGAAGAGGTGTTCGACTATGTCATTCGCCTGGAGTTCCAGGGCCGCAAGACCGAGCACATCCACATTGCAGCCTGGGTGCGCCTGAAAGGGAATCTATCTGGCCGTAGCGGCCAGGCGGATCGGTCTGCCTTCGTGATGTTCTTGGAGGAAGTGTTCCGCGGCTCTGTGGACGCCCAGGAGGGCTATGGGTTTCTGAACTACATCAGCGGCTACGTCGTCAAGGGCAACCAGTCTATGGATTATCAGCCTGACGCCGCGCGAAGCGCCGGAGACGAACACTCGGCGTGGCGCACGACCTATCGTATGCTGTGCAAGCTGGCGCCGGGAATGCCGGAGGTTTTTCTGGATTTTGCAGGCGCCAAACACATGTATCGTACGTTCGGTGTCGTCAACGCGTACGCTATCATACCAGGGCAGGGTGACAAGGGCAGCAATGACACCAAGCGGCTGTATCGTAAGTATCTATTGCGAACTTCCGTCGGTGATGGCCCGAAGCCGTGTGGCAGCTTTCTGAGCTATCTCCGTACCTACAACTGTCGGAGGACCACCAGAAGGTTATCGAACGCAGAGGGCGCGGGGACGACTCCCGCGTGGCGGTGGGCGTCCGATTTGCTTTCGAGATGCAGGACAATTGCATCGGCCAGTTCTGCACTATGATGTTCCCGCACGGAGACTCCGGTACTTTTGCGCCGCCAAAAGGGATCCCGAGTTGATCCCTTTCACGAAGCACTATCTGAAGGCGGTGAAGTATCTTCAGCACCTCGTGTGCATGACGGGCGCGCGTCCTTCTTGCGAAGAGTCTATTCGCCAGCGGGTGAAAGGGATGCTGCCGCAGGAGGAGGGAGAGGCAGAAGAACAGTATGGCCTCCGCGTTCTGGCGAAGATGAAGAGCACCCGCTGGGTGGGCTTCGCCAGGAAGGCCACGTCTATCGTCAAGCTGTTCGATGCGCCCGTCGAGACTATCGCTGACCGTTTCCATGAGTACAGTTGGGAGCCCTACGACAGTTGGCCTTGGCTCCCTCCCTCGCGGTCCTTCGACTCCGAGGACATGCCTATGGGCCCTGGAGATCAACTGTTCCACCCTCTGAGATGTGCTGATGATACCGAGGGCGCCTATGGTAAGCCCTTCCACGGCGTTGACGCGGCGCTCGATTATTTCGAGGACGTGGTGGCGGCGGACCTGCGCATCCGCGTCTCTCCTGGGCGTGCAAGGTCGTTCCGAGCGCGGCTCCATGCCGTGCACTGCTACTATAACCACATGCAGCACTGCCGCGACCACCCCGACGCCATCCCGCTTGATGTCCGCCGAGCAGCAGACCGCCTGATGCAGGCTGATCCGTCTATTGACGCGCAGTTCGCATACTACAACGAGTACAAGCGGCAGTGGAACAAATGTGACGCGCATGCGCGCCCTCGCATCACGTGGTCTGCCGACCAGGAGGAGGTGCTGAAGGTGGTGGATGGTGTGCTATCCAGAGCCGACGCCAACATCGTACAGCAGCAGTTCTACTATGTGAATGGGGAGCCAGGCAGCGGCAGGACGGAGGTCCTGTGCGAAGCTTCCCGCAGGGCCGCGGACGCTGGTCTCCACGTTCTCATTCTTGGTCCCACCGGCACTCTGGTGCACACCTATAAGACCAAGGTGCAGCACGAGAACATCAACGTGGAGACCATACACTCTGCGTGGCACATCTGTCGCAGGGCCGATACCTTCGTTGACTATGCGCCTCCGTCGCGCCTCCGCACCTATGACCTCTTCATCGTCGATGAGGCGTCGCAGATCGAGGACGACGTGGCTGTGCGCTTGCACAACGGCTTCAGGGAGCTGCCGCAGCGGCCCGCGGTCTTCTTTGCGGCGGACTTCCAGCAGCTGAATCCGCTCGGATGTTCGGCGGCTATGCGGACGTGGATCACGGTCATGACCACCATATCACTGTGCACTATACACAGGACCAACGATGATCGCCTCCTATCTTTCTTGCGGCATGTGCGCCTGAGGCAGCCGCACAAGGAGGTCATCCGGTCCTTCTTCGCCGGGCGCACGTGGGACTCCATCACCCTTGAGCAGGCCGTGCAGAGGGGGATGGCTATCGGCGCTCGTCTGGGGGAGCCCTTCCACTGGCTCACCGTGACGAACAATGGGGCCGAGGCGGTTAATTCGGCGTGTCTATCGGCGTGTGGCTACGACGAGCCTGAGAACCTCTCGCCGCTCTGCGGGGGCCCCAAGGTTCTATGCTTTCCGAATGGTGTGTCGGTGGATGGTCTGGGGATCGCGCTGCGCGCCCATGCATCGGCCATGTGTCTCCGTGGTCTATCTTTTGTTGAAGTATATCTGCTACGTCCACGTCGCCGATGCATCGCCCGGTCGCAGTCAGTGTGATCTCTGGGCCAACCTGCCGGACACCATGCGGGAGGCTATCCCAGGTAGCTGGCAAGGAGCGGCTATTCATTGCTCCTGGTGTGGTTGTTCGGCTCACGCGGAACCTCGACAAGGGGCGGGGCTTCGTCAACGGCGCCAATGGCACTATCGATGTTGTGCTGGAGAACAAGTCTATCTTTACGGTGACGCTCGCGGGCGCCAAGCGCCGTCTCCTCGTGCGCCCGATCACCGACGGAGGAGATTACTTCTTGCCGTGCACCTATGGCTATGCTACCACCATCCGCAGGGCCCAGGGATCTTCTCTTGGGCTTGGTGCGCTCTATTTCGATCACTGTTATCCGCCGGGGCGGGGCTATGGCTACGTGGGTGCCAGCCGCTTCAGACGCGCCGAGCGCATCTATCACTTTGGGTGCATTCGGCGCACGGACTGGCTGCCTGTCAGCATGAAGCAGGATGATCCTGATGAGCAGACTATGAGGTCCGCTCAGAGCGAGTCTGATAACGAGTACGGGCCTGGGCCACGGGGCAGCGACACGGAGTCCGAGATCAGCGCTGTCTCTGACTCTTCTCATCCTGATGATGAGGGCGAGGAGTCCCGCTGTGCTATCCTCGAGCACATGTCCGCCTTCTCTGGCGCGGGCGATCTGTCAGCCTTCGCGGGGCGCGGCCTTCATGGGCTCGTTTGGCTCTCGTGCCGGTGCGCTGTGCCGGGGCTCAATCACAAGCATCCGTGCTCATGTCCATGTCTTCTCATTGTGCGGAATCTATGTGTTAGAGTTGTTATTGTTTGTACTCTTGTGCCTGCTCCCGGGTGTCTGTGTCTGTGCACGGCCGCCATCTATCTGCTGATTTGGGGCTTTGCTACTGATGCTGTGCTATTGCATGCAGTAACGGCGAGGCGGGGGGGGGGGCGGCAGGTTGTATTAATCATCTTCGCTGTGCTGTGACACATTCACACTGTGCTATGGTGAGCCTTGTCATGATCAGTCACGCAATGGTTGTCTATGGTATTCTAGACTCTTCGACAGCCACGCCGTGACATCAGGCTCTTGCTGGGGGGGGGGGGGTGCACCTGTGCGGCTTGTTTCGCTGTGCCATGCTATGCTATGCCACGGCCGCGCTATAATATCAAGGGCTTATAAGCTCCGGTGGTGTTATGCCGTGCTATGTTATGTCATGGCCACGCTACAACATGAGGTTCCCCACATTTAGGGGAACCGCTCACGTAGGTGCTTTGCTCTCTCTTTGCTATAACATGAAGTTCCTATAGCATCAGGTCTTGGAGTTGGTACGTGTTCTATATTATGACATGGCCACGCTATACTATCAGGGTCCTATAACCTCAGGTCTCCTACCTGCTATGCTGTCTTATATTATGTCACGGCCACGCTATAACATGAGATTCCCCAGATTTTGGGGAACCTCGCGTCTTATGTAGGTGCGTTGCTGTGCCTACAGTGATCCATGCTATCAGGTTATTCTAGCATCAGGTTTTGGAGCTGGCATGCTGTGCTATTTTATGCCAGGGCCTTGCTATAACATGAGGTTCCCCAAATTTTGGGGAACCTTGTGTCTTTCGTATGTCCTTTGCTACGCTGCTACTGTTGTGCTATAACATGGGTTCCTCATGGTTGCGGAAGATCTCCACGCTGGAATATCAAGGTCTTCTGAGCTCTGGTGCTGGTGTTGTGTGCTATGTTATGCCATGGCCACGCTATAATCTGATGTTCTCTTAATGCAGGGGAACCTTGCGTCTGACTCAGTTGCTTTGCTATCCTTATAGTCACGCTATAACCTGAGCTTCCTATAGCATCCGGTCTTGGAGCTGTCATGCTGTGCTATATTATGGCATGGCCACGTTATACTAGCGTGGTCCTATAACCTGAGGTCTACGACCTGCTATGCCGTTCTATATAATGTCACGGCCACGCTATAACACGAGCTTCCCCGGATTTTGGGGAACCTCGCGTCGTTCGTAGGTCCGTTGCTATGCCTATAGTCACGCTATAATATCAGGTTCCTATATCATCAGGTTTTACAGGTGTTATGCTGTGCTATGTTATGCCACGGCCTCGCTATAACATGAGGTTCCCCAGATTTTGGGGAACCTTGTGTCTTCCATAATTCCTTTGCTATGCGATGCCAGTGGTGTGGTATAACATGAGTTCCTCATAGCTTCGGCAGTTCACGCTATAGTACAAGGTCTTCTAAGCTCCGGTGCTGTTATGGTCGTCTATGTTCTGCCATGGCCTTGCTCTGTCAGGTTCCCCTAATTTAGGGGAACCTTCGTCTGATGTAGGTGTTTTGCTATCCCCATGGTCTACAACATGAGGTTCCTATAGCACAAGGTCTTCGAGCTGGTATGCTGGGCTATAGTATGCCTTTGCCACGCTATACTATCAGGGTCCTCCTTATGTATAAGACCTGCTATGCTGTGGTATATTATGTCACGGCCACGCTATAACATGAGGTTCCCCAGATTCTGGGGAACCTTGCGTCTTTTGTAGGTGCGATGCTGGGGGGGGGGGGGGGGGGGGGGGGGACCTGTGCGGCTTGTTTCGCTGTGCCATGCTATGCTATGCCACGGCCACGCTATAGTATCAAGGGCTTATGAGCTCCGGTGGTGTTATGCCGTGCTATGTTATGTCATGGCCACGCTGCAACATGAGGTTCCCCACATTTGGGGGAACCGCTGACGTAGGTGCTTTGCTCTCTCTTTGCTATAACATGAAGTTCTTATAGCATCAGGTCTTGGAGTTGGTACGTGTTCTATATTATGGCATGGCCACGCTATACTATCAGGGTCCTATAACCTCAGGTCTCCTACCTGCTATGCTGTCTTATATTATGTAACGGCCACGCTATAACATGAGGTTCCCCAGATTTTGGGGAACCTCGCGTCTTATGTAGGTGCGTTGCTGTGCCTACAGTGATCCATAATATCAGGTTATTCTAGCATCAGGTTTTGGAGCTGGCATGCTGTGCTATGTTATACCACGGCCTCGCTATAACATGAAGTTCCCCAGATTTTGGGGAACCTTGTGTCTTTCGTATGTCCTTTGCTACGCTGCTACTGTTGTGCTATAGCATGGGTTCCTCATAGTTGCGGAAGATCTCCACGCTGGAATATCAAGGTCTTCTAAGCTCTGGTGCTGGTGTTGTGTGCTATGTTATGCCATGGCCACGCTATAATCTGATGTTCTCTTAATGCAGGGGAACCTTGCGTCTGACTCAGTTGCTTTGCTATCCCGATAGTCACGCTATAACCTGAGTTTCCTATAGCATCAGGTCTTGGAGCTGTCATGTTGTGCTATATTATGGCATGGCCACGTTATACTAGCGTGGTCCTATAACCTTAGGTCTACGACCTGCTATGCCGTTCTATATTATGTCACGGCCACGCTATAACATGAGGTTCCCCGGATTTTGGGGAACCTCGCGTCGTTCGTAGGTCCGTTGCTATGCCTATAGTCACGCTATAATATCAGGTTCCTATAGCATTAGGTTTTACAGTTGGTATGCTGTGCTATGTTATGCCACGGCCTCGCTATAACATGAGGTTCCCCAGATTTTGGGAAACCTTGTGTCTTCCATAATTCCTTTGCTATGCGATGCCAGTGGTGTGGTATAACATGAGTTCCTCATAGCTTCGGCAGTTCACGCTATAATACAAGGTCTTCTAAGCTCCGGTGCTGTTATGGTCGTCTATGTTCTGCCATGGCCTTGCTCTGTCAGGTTCCCCTAATTTAGGGGAACCTTCGTCTGATGTAGGTGTTTTGCTATCCCCATGGTCTACAACATGAGGTCCCTATAGCACAAGGTCTTCGAGCTGGTATGCTGGGCTATAGTATGCCTTTGCCGCGCTATACTATCAGGGTCCTCCTTATGTATACGACCTGCTATGCTGTGGTATACTATGTCACGGCCACGCTATAACATGAGGTTCCCCAGATTTTGGGGAACCTTGCGTCTTTTGTAGGTGCGTTGCTGTGCCTATAGTCACGCTGTAATAGCAGGTTCCCATTGCATCAGTTTTGAGAGCCGGAATGCTCTGCTATGTTATGCCACGGCGTGGCTGGTGTCTTTCGTATGTCCTTTGCTATTCGATGCTACTCTTGTGCTATAACATGAGTTCTGCATAATTTCGGCAGATCTCCACGCTATAATATCAAGGCCTTATAAGCTCATGTGCTCTTATGCTGGTCTATGTTATGTCATGGCGACGTTTCATGAGGTTCCCCTGATTTAGGGACACTTCGCGTCTGACGAGGCTTTGCTATCCCTATAGTCACGCTATAACATGAGGTTCCTATAGCATCAGGTCGTGGAGCTGTCATACTGTGCTATATTATGGCATGGCCATGCTATGCTATCGTTATGGCCTGGCCATGCCTATTACGGCATGGCCATGCCAGTATGGCATGGCCATGCTATACTATCATTATGGCATGCACACACACACACGCACACACATGTGCACATACCTACATGCACACACACACGTGTTGCCGCGTATTTGGGACGGCATGGCGGCAGTATGGCATAGCACAGCATAGCATAACATAGCATCCATAGTTGCCGGCACGGTTTGTCACAACTGCCGACACGGTTTGTCATAACTGCCGACGCGGGTTGCCATAATAGTCTCGGCCTTCCATAACTGCCGACACGGGTTGCCATGCTTGATTCTGAGGTCTCATAAGCCGACGCGGCTGTCCACAACAACCGACAGGAATTTCCCAGTAACAGCCGACACGGGTTTCCAGAACTACTGACACGGGTTTCCATAACTTTCGTTTTTCAAATTGAATCTGTGTTATCATAAGTGAACACGGGTTTCCATAACAACCGATGCGAATTTCTATAACAACCGACACGGGTTTTCATAATTGCCGACATGGTTTTCCATGATTGCCGACACCTCACAAGCTTCGTGTTGTAGCACGCGCGCCATCTGTTAGAGCGATGTTGTCACAAGGAGAGGAGAGATGATCTTTATGTGGGGGTGGAGATGCGGGGGGGATTGATAGCCACCGCAGGTAAGTGCCTATGCAGGTAGGTATTCCTGGCCTTGCCCTGTTAGACCCTAAACCCTAAACCTTAACCCTAAATGGGTTTGCTCGGCTCTCCGGCCCGCGCTGCCTCCGCCGACGCCGGCAAGGGGCGCGCGTTCGAGCCCCCCGCGCGGGAGGAGCGGCGCGAGAAGCTTCACCGGGCAGACCATGTCTGCTTCGCGCTCCTTGACCACGAGGGGGAATCGGTGGTGGACAAGGCGCGGCGGCGAGGAAGCAAGGAGGGGTCGCGCGCGCGAGCATTGGTGCGTTCCCCTGGGGCGGGGGAGCGATCGCGCGTGAGCGCTCTGCTGTTCCACGCGGTGCGCCGCGCGCGTGGCCCGCGTCGGCCACCGCGTCAGGACTCCTGGGTTGTCGTCGCGCGCGACCCCCCCCCCCGCTTTCTCGGCGTCGCCCAGGTGCCCCTCGACAAGCTCTGGGAGGCCGCGGCCCAGGGCTCCCACTGGGCGGCCTCCCGCGCCAACCTGTCCAGCGACTCTGAGTATCGCGTTGGCGTCGGGGTGAGCCAGACCGCGGGAGCCCTGGCGGTCGCGGTGCGCAAACTGCAGCAGGATGCCGGGCTCAAAGCGGTGCTCCAGAAAGTACCTGGAGAAGGCATTGGCCGAGGGCAACGCGTTGCTGCCGCACTTGGACAGGCTGAACCGCGGCCGCGGCACGGAGGCCTCGAGCGCCAAGGACAAGAGAGCCTGAGTTTCGCGAAGCTCAAGGCTGCCGCGGGCTCCTCGGCCGGCGGGAGCGGGGGCGGGGGCGGGGGCGGCGGCGCCGCCGCCCCGCCCAAGCCAGACGAGCTCAAGGCGTCGGCGAAAGCGGTCCACGAGTGGCTGTCGCAGCCGCAGAGCGCCCTGCGCGGGCTGCTGAGCATCCTGGCCAGCGGGGGCGTCTTTTGGGTGTGCTCCACAAGCCCCTGAGCCTCGAGGACTTCACCAGCGCCGTCGCGGCCCGCAGCACCGGCGCCGCGGCCGGTCAGGCGCCGCTCGGCCGCGGGGTTGACGATTCGCACGGCCTCCTCGCGCCGTGAGATCCCCCGCGCACCTGTGGCTGCCCGCTCCGCAGCCCCCCCGCGCGCTTGGCCGGGACCAGTGCCGGGCGCGCCGTGAATGCCCTGCGAGCGCCGCCAGCGATGCGCCGCTGCATGAGCGTCGTCCCCCGCGCGCCTGGCCGGGGCCAGTGCCAGTGCGCGCCGCGCTTACCTCTCGGCGGCCGCCAGCACCCTGCGAACGCCGCCAGCGATGCACCGCTGCATGAGCGTCGTCCCCCGCGCGCCTGGCCGGGACCAGTGCCAGTGCGCGCCGTGCTTACCTCTCGGCGGCCGCCAGCGTCACACTGTTGTCATATTCTTCCGCGGTCAAAACAAAGACATCGACCGATCACGAGCGCCATTTGCCAGGGGGGGGAACGTCCCAGGCGCTGCTCTCGAGGGGGAGGGGGCGACGGCGGGGCCGAGGGCCCTGGGGAAACACTCGTTGATAGGGACGACCCCCCCCCCCCAAAGCAAAGATGCATTGGCGATGCTTCTGCAGCGCTGCGCTCCGTCATCCGACACGACGCGCGATGGCATCGGCGATGCGCGTCGCATGTTAGCAATATGGATCTTCGCGGCCGGGACGCATCGGCGACGCAGCCTCGGCATCGGGCCCCCTTCAACGGACGCGCGTGCGCGGTGACATCGGCAATGCGCAAATCGGTTCCGCGGTCTCCCAGCTTCGCGCGAGTGGGCGACGGTCTTTGCCAAACGCGACGTCCTTACCCACCGAATGCTCCCTGCGGCAAGCGCGCTGCCAGAGAGGGGCGGCGCGTCGCGTTGAGGGGCCACGACCGTTTTCGCGCGCTGCTTGCGCGTCGCTTGTACGTGTAAAGATTTGGCTGCGATCGCGCGGGCACGCTGGCTCCTTCTGCCGCGCGCTTCCGCGACGGGCGGGTCGCGATTTTCTTTTGCCGCCGCGGGCGATTTGAGAGGCGCGCAGGATGTGGATGGCGCGCGCGCGGGCGCAGCGCGCCGACAGGGCCGCGTTTCTTTGCTTGGCGGCAGATTGTAGACGCGATTTGAAGAAAAACGTAAATAAACGCGAGTCCCTGTGCGTCGCAGGGACACCGCCCAGCGGCGGTTAGTCCTCGTGGAATTGCGGAGCGTCGCACGCGCGGAATAGTTCGTTGCTTCGAGGCGAGAGGTCCGCATGGGCTTCCTCGACACCGCGCCGCGGAGCGCGATGGCCGATGCAAGGTCGATGCGATGCGCGTGCGCGAAGCGCAGCACCGATGCCTTGGCGATGCATGCCCGAGCTTGACACGGGGCGCGCGAGACGGTTCTTGGCTTGGGGGCAGAGCCCCCAAGTTCGTTTGCGTCGCACCGCGACGCGGCGCGCGAAGGCCGATGCAAAGGCGATGCGACGCGCGCGCGCGCGGAGCGACAAAACGGGCGGCATCGCGCGGCACGTTGCCGATGCGTTGGCGATGCATAGACCAGCCAGACGCGAAGCGCACGGGGTGGCTCGTTGCATCCCTGAGGGGGGGGCCCCGCGTTTGCATCGTTGGAACTGCGACGCGGCACGCGCAGGTCGATGCAAAGGCGATGCGACGCGTGCACGAGGACAAAACGGGTATCCTCCCGCAGCGTCTGGTCGACGCCTTGGCGATGCGTAACGCAGCGCGGCCCGTCGCTGTGGAGGCGGGCCATGAGAGGCCAGCGCGCTCCCACGAGCCCCCCCTCCCTGAGCACCGTCTTGGTAGCCTCCTGGGTCAGCCTAGCACCGCCTTGGGCCCCCCAACGGGCTGAGGATCCCAAGCGCGTCCTTGGTGGGGCAGAGCACCGCCCCCCTGGCTCTCTTCTCTCCGTAGCCATCGGGGCTGTAGAGGATTGCTCACGCGAGCCTTACCCACTGGGCCCGCCTCGCGGGCGCGCCGATATGGCTCGCCTGGCTCGCAAGCGCCCAGCGGCGGCCATCGAGGCGCCCGCGTCCTCTGGCGCAGCCGGCGGTCTTCGCCGGCGTCGGCGGGTCGCGGCGGCTGGGCCTGTGCAGGCCCCGCGCCGAGTGACTCTCGGGCCCGCGGAGCACGCGCGCATCGCGGAGGCGGTGCGGGGCGGCGCGACAGTGGGCGACCTCGTCAGGGACTTCGGGGTGAGCAAGCGGCGCGGGCGGGCGTTGCGCAGCCAGTGCGGCTGCCAGGGCGCGGCGCCACTGACGCCGAATCGGGCCCCAAGGGCCGCTGCGCCGCCGCCGCGGGCCGCGCGCCGCGCGCGTGGCAAGCAGGCGGCGGCGGCAGCTGCGCGAGGACGGTCGCGGAGCCGAGTGGCGCTGGGAGCCGCGGAGCACGCGCGGATCGCGGAGGCAGTGCGGGGCGGCGCGCGGACGGGCGACCTCGCGAAGGATTTCGGCTTGAGCAAAAGCCGGGCGAAAGCTTTGCGCGCCTTGTACGGAGCACAGGGCGCCGCGCCACTGACCCCAGACCGACTGACCGCGCGCGTCGCCCAAGCGGTGCGAGCCGGCGCGACCAGGGCCACGCTCAGCGCTGCTGACCACGCACGCGTCGCCGAAGCGGTACGGGACGGAGCTGGCCCGAGCGATCTGAGGAGGGACTTCGGCTTGAGCGCGCGCCGGGCGCGGGAGTTGCGCCTCCAGTACAGTGCCGAGGGGGCCGCGCCGATGGCGCCCTCGCGGGCACCGCGTCGGGCGCGCCGCGCCGACGCCGCCTCGACTTGGCTGACCGAATCGAACCGCTGCTTCGCTGTGGGCGCTGGACGCCCGCCGAGGCCGGTGGAGGAGCTGAGCGGAGGCCCCGCGGAGGATGCTGAGGCGCCCGACGGCATTCGCCGAGGCCGGCGCTGGATGGCACTCGGGTCCTGGACGTTCTGCCCTCGTTGCGGCCGCCGCAACGCGACTGGGCCGTGGGCGGCCGCGGGCTCTGTCGAGACCGCCGCCGCGGCCTGCCCCGGCGGGTGCGACCTGCCGCCGTCGGCGATGGAGCGCGCCGCCCCCCGGCGCCTGGCACCTCGGTCTGCGTGCGTGGACGCCGGTGAGTGGGCAGCAGCGGTGGCCGAGGCGGAATGGGTCGCGTGCACGCAGTGCAGCGGCGTTTGGCACTGGGGCAAGCCCGTCGACGCGCCCCCGTGCGCCAGCGAGTCCAGCCCCGTGGTGCACTGCGGCGTGTGCGCCAGCTGCAAGGCCGCCGCGGCGCAGCCTCGCTCCGGCACCGCGAAGTACTACGTGACGCCGGCCGCGAGCGACTGGCCCGTCTACGACGCGAGCGCCGGGGCGTTCCGCGCGGCGGCGGGCGACGAGGGAGCGGCCCAGCGATGCGTTTTTGAGCTGACGGAGGAGGAGGCCGCGTCGCTGCCTATCATTGACTTGCAGTGCGACTACACCTCTGTGCGGGGCGGCCGCGCGCCGACGGCCTGCAAGAAGAAGACCAGCGTGGTCCGGGCCCGGTGGCGCGCGCGCGATGTCCAGGCGGGCCTGCCCACCCCGCGAGCGCGGGCAGCCTTCGCGTGGCTCATGGAGCACTCGGAGGCCTACTGGCGCTACTACGAGATGCACCTGCAGAAGCTCGCAGCCCTGCAGGAAGCGGGCGAGGGGGCGCGCTGGATCTACACCGCGGAGCTCCTCCTCTGGATGCCCGGGGTCGAGGCGGCGGCTCGGCCCGTCCTGTGCCCGACGTCCGCCTTTGGCGATTCCGATCTGCGCCCGCGCCTGCGCGCCCTGAACCTCGCCGCGGAGAACGGGAAGCCGAGCATCAAGGCGAGCTTCATGCGGAAGCTGTGCAGCCGGTGCGTGGCCTACCAGACGGACTTCCCTCTGTTCGCGCTGCTCTACGATATCGCGCTGGCGCGGCAGCTGTCCTCCCTGGTCGCGATTGCCAAGCAGCAGCGCCTTGCCCCGGGCGAGGCGGCCGGGGAGATGCAGAACTTCTCGGGCTTCTGGCAGTGGGGGCGGGAGAAGTTGGAGGACGTCTGCAGGCAGATGGCGGAGCACCCGGAGTACGTGGCCTCGTTTCAGCGGTCGGGAGCTGCCCGCTACGTGGGGTCCGAGTGGAAGCGTGGGCTCCCGAACGTCTTCATGACGATAGCCCGGGCCGAGTGGAAGGCTTTGCTACGCGACGGTATGTTTGCGCGCGTGCGCGAGGCCTCTGACTTGACTGAGCTGCAGCCCGCCCTGACGCTGCACTTGTACCACACCATCACGACGCTGTTTGAAAAGGTCGTTCTCGCGAGCCCGTCCGAGTGCGGCTTCAAGCGCGTCTTCCAATACGTTCTCCGCGTCGAGTTCCAGGGGCGGGGCACGCTGCGCGTGCGCGTGCTGGCGTGGGTCGAGTTCGATACAAAGGCGAACATCTTCGGCTACGCTCCCAGCATGACCGGGCGCCCCCCGGGGGGCACGGACCCTGGCATTGTGCCCGAGGACCCTCGCCTGCTGCGCTTCCTGGAGAAACTCTTCACTGGATCCGCGGACGCGCAGTGCAACAATGGCCACCACAACTTCTTGAACTATGTCACAAGCTACGAGATGAAGGGCTCGGACGCCCTGCAATTCCAATCGCGCGAGAGCGAGGCGGAGCACTGCAGCGCCTGGCGGCAGACCTATCGCTTGCTCTGCAAGAAGGCCCCTCTGGAGCCTGAGATGACGGTGGAGTTCGCCACGAAGCCACTCATGCTTGCCAGCTACCGCGGGAGGCACCTGTACGCGCCGCTCCCGCGCGACAGGACGGCGCCGGACGAGTCGCGCGTAAACGACGGCGAATTGTTGTACAGGGCGTACTTGGAGCGCGACCTCCGCGAGGAAGTGGCCCTGGCCATCGGCGACGCGCGGCCCAGCCAGGAGCTCTCATGCATCCAGTGGGCCAGGGAGCGGAAGATCCACAATGGGCGCGCGGCGCCGTCGCAGCCGCGCCGGGGCAGGGGCGCCGACAAGTCTATGCAGGCGCTGGCCGTGCGATTCCCGTTCGAACTCCTGGGCAACTTTGTCGGCGCCTGGTGCGCGATGTTCCTCCCGCGCGCGGCCGACTCGGACGCGCTACGGGCTGCCATGAGCGAGGGCGTGCCCGTTCTGCCTGCGAAAGCCCTGTGGCCCGCGGACGACGCAGCGGCCGGCGCGCGGCACCTCGAGGCGGCCCTGGTGGCGGCGCAGGACAACTTCGACAACGACGACGCGGCAGACCCGGGGTTGCTGCAGGAAGTGGTCAAGGACATGGTGCTGCGCGGCCTCAAGACCGCTTGCATCCGCACGTTCGTGGCGAGGCTGCGCGCCTGTCGGCTCCTGATCCGCCGGATCGACGCCGTGGAGGACGTGGATGCGCGCCGGAGAGCCGTGGCGGCGTGGGGCCTCAGGAAGGCGCGCCGGGTGGAGAAGCTCATCTGGTCCCCCGATCAGAACCAGGTCCTGGACGCGGTGAGGGCTGGCGACGAGGTGGCGGGCGCCAACGTAGCGCCGATGTCGCGCTCCTGCTGGTCACCGGCGGGCCTGGGACCGGCAAGACGTCCGTGGTGCTGCAGTGCGCCATCGACGCCGCGTCGACGGGCTGCCTCCTGATCGCTCGCCCCATCGGCGTGCTGGTGAGCGTGTGCCGGGAGCAGCTCCCGCCCGGCCTTGACATTGTTGTGGAGACGATCCACAGCAGCTTCAAGATCACGCGGAAGGCCGACGCGCAATGCGTCCCACCCGGCAGGCTGCGGCACTTCGACCTCCTGGTCTTCGACGAATGCTCGCAGCCGGAGGACCACGTGTGGCGGGAGATGCGGGCGGCGCTGCGCGAGCTGAGCCCCGGGCCCTTCGTGGTCTTCGTCGGGGACTTCCAGCAGCTGCAGCCCGTCCACGGCGCCTCGGTCATGCAGAGCTCGCTCCTCGCGCAGGCCCGGTAGGGGAAGATGCGGCACGTGGAACTGCAGCAGCACCCCTTCGCCCGATGCACTGACGCGCCGATGCTCGACTTCTTGTCCTACGCGCGGGAGCGCCAGCCGACGCGGGGCATGCTTGCGCACTTCTTCCAGGGCCGCCGCCTGCGCCGGGGCGGGGCCCAGGCCGTCCAGCACGCGATGGCCATGGAGAAGGACCGCGCGGGCAAGTACTTCACGTTCCTGACCGTCACGAACGCCGCGGCGCGCGCCCTGAATCTCCTTCGCCTCCGGATGGAGTTCGGCATCGACGAGGAGGAGCTGGACGCCCGCGGCGTGCCCGGCGACCCTGGCGCCGGCGGGGGCCGCATGATCTTCCGGAAGGGCATGCGCTTGCGGCTGACACGCAACATCGACAAGGACCGGGGCTTCGTGAACGGATGCCTCGGCCACGTCGAGGAGGTCCTCTCGGTCCAGCCGCCCGTGCTCGTGCTCCGCACCACGGAGAACACGCGGTTGCTTGTCCACTACGTATTCGCGGACGGGCAGAAGTTCATGCCGTGCACGTACGGCTGGGCGATGACGATTCGCCGCTCCCAGGGCAGCACGCTGGACATGGGCGCCATCTGCTTCGACAGGACGCGGAGGGCGCCAACCGCGGGCAGGCGACGCGGGCATGCCCGTCCAGGGCCCAGGATCGGCGCGGCGGCCCGCCTCCGCCGCCTCTTAGACCAAGCGCGTCGGTCCTCGACCCAGGAGGGACTTGCCCCGGTCGCTCAGCCCCACGGTCGACCCCCCCCCCCAAGGAAGCGGCCGGAACGAGGCTACGCGTACGTCGCGCTGTCGCGGTTTCGCACGCGAGACTCGGTCTTCTTGCTGGGGCGCATCCGCGCGACGGACTGGCTGCCCGTCGGCGGGGGCCCCAGCGCGGAGCAGACCTGCCCAGGCTTCCTCAGCGACTCCGACGCCAGCGAAGACGATGTGGGCGCGGAGTCAGAGGCCTCGGAGGAGGACAGTGGGCGCCCCGAAGAGGACGCGGCATCGGGCGGCGGCGGCCTGGACACCGATTCTGTCTGCTGTTCCGACGCGCGCTCGGACAGCGTGGACCCCGCTCTGGGTTGCTTCTCGGACTGGAGCTCCGACGCGCACTCGGAGAGCGTGTGTCCCGCCTTGGGCGACAGTCTGGTCTGGTCCTCGGACGAAGAGAGCGTCGACCCCGCGAAGGCGCTGAACTCCGTCGGGTGGCCCCTGGTCGTCGACGCCACGGAGCCGCCCGCGCCCGACGCCGCCGTGGCCAGCGCGGGCAGCGACTCAGACGGCGGCTGCAGCGGCGCCGCGTCGCCACCGCCGTCGCCCTTGGTCGCCGACTGCCCAGCGCCCGAGCCAGCCGAGGGGCGCCCGGCGTCGCCACCAGAGCCCGGCTTGGCGCTGGGCTGGGACGACGCGGCCGGCGCGTGGGCCCCGGCGGCGCCCATCCGGCACTACTGGACGTCGGAGGCGGGACTTTAGGCCAGGATGGGCTCGGTATCCTGGGGGAACCAAAAAGTGCATCATCGTAATCGATCCCCTCTTCTGCTCGCCCAAGCGCTCGCGCGGCGAAGGGAAGCGACGCCCTCGCGCCACCTCCCCAGACGCCTTCCTGGCCTCCATGCCCAGCGCGCGCGGGATCGCGCGGGACAGGGCTGGGAGAGCGCCAGGGGGGTTGCGGGGGGCGTTGTCTTCACTCGCCGTCGCTGGCGCTTGGTCGAGCCCTCCGCCCTCGCCCGTGCGTCGCCCTCTTGCGTTCGCCCAGGCGCGCGCGAAGCGGGAGGAAGCGACGCCCCCCCACGCCACCCGCCGGATGCTTCCCTGGCCGCCATGACCAGCGCGCACGCGTTGGGCGGGGCTGGGAGAGCACCACAGGGGGCGGGCGGGGGCGTGGTCTCCCCCCCGCGTCGCCTGCGCTTGGCCGAGCCTTAGCACCGCGGCGCGGCGCGCGGAGGCCGATGCAAGAGCGATGCGATGCGCGCACGCGCGGCGCCACAACGAGTAGCCCCACCCCCCCGCAGAAACTCACCGACGCCTTGGCGATGCATAAACCAGCTCGACGCGAGGCGCGCGGAATAATTCGTTGCTGGGCGAGATCGCTGCCCGCGACGCGGCGCGCGAAGGCCGATGCATGGGCGATGCGACGTTTGCGCGCGCGAAGAAACCAGCTCGACGCGATGCGCGAGGAATAGTTCGTTGCTCGGCGAGCGCGCTCCCCGCGACGCGGCGCGCGATGGCCGCGTCGACGAGGCGCAGCTGCGCCTTCCTCCGGGAGCTTCTCGGCGAGAGGCTCCCGGGGGAGGGGGGCTTCTGGGCGGCCGTGGTCGCCCCGCCGCGCTGGCTCCGTGGCGCTTGAGCGCGCCGCGGAGTGACCGCGCGACGGGGCGGCCATATCCGCTCGGAAACCCAGGGGGCCATGTCCAGTCTCCATGGGGCGGCCCCTGGGGAAGGGCACGGGGGCGGCTCTCAACCCGAAAGGGTCGATGTCGCGCCCGTGCCTTTCGCGAAGGGCAGTACTGACGCCATGCCTGGCATACCGAGGCCATGAACGTCTGCCACGAGTCTGGGCGAGGGGAGTACCCTGCACTTTCGCAGGCTCTCCCAGAACGCCACTCCCGGTACTCCGGGAGTTTGCAGATCCTCCCAGAACGCCATTGCTGGCGCTCCGAGGGCAAGGATCTGCGTGAGGGGTGCGTCCTGGGATTTTATCGGGCCAGAACGCCATTCCTGGCGCTCCGAGGCCAAGGATCTGCGTGAGGGGCGCCCAGGGGCGCACCCTGGGATTTGCAGATCCTCCCAGAACGCCATTCCTGGCGCTCCGAGGGCAAGGATCTGCGTGAGGGGTGCGCCAAAATGATGGGGGGCGGCCGAAGGGGGTACTTTAGGGCGGCGGAAGGGATTTTAGGATTTAAATCTTTATAGGCTCTTCGTTTTTAGGGCTTAGGGTTTAGGGTCTCGCTGGGCGGAAGCAGCTCGACCCCCCCTCCTTCGAGAGGTTGGGGGGGGGGGGGGGGGTCGGCTGCTATTCGTTCCCGTTCCCCCCCCACCCAAAAGTACCCCTTTAGGGTTTAGGGTTCTTCTACCCCCCTCTCTCCCCCCTTCTCATGGGGGGAAGGTCTTTCTGGCGGATCATCTTCGGGCGTCTTCCATCTGTCAATCTACCCCCCCTCGCCCCCCTTCGCATGGGGGGACTAACTTTCTATTTCTCGGAGCCGCATCTTGCTCGCAGGGTGATCTCTTGGTTTTCATTTCGAATTACCGAGCAGCGCCTGGGAGCGCTTGGGACCGCTTGGGACCGCTTGGGGCCGCTTGGGAGCGCTGGGGGGCGCTTGGGGGCGCCTGGGAGGGCCTAGGAGCGCCTGGAACGCTTGGGAGCGCTTGGAAACGCTTGGGAGCGCCTGGGAGCGCTTGGGAGCGCCTAGGAGCGCTTGGGAACGCTTGGGAGCGCCTGGGAGCGCTTGGCAGCGCCTGTCAGCGCTTGGCAGCGCCTGGGAGCGCATGGGAGCGCCTGGGAGCGCTTGGGAGCGCTTGGGAGCGCCTGGGAGCGCCTGGGAGCGCTTGGGCGCTTGGGAGCGCTTGGGAGCGCTTGGCACCGCCTGGAAGCGCTTGGGGGCGCTTGGGTGCGCTTGGCAGCGCCTGGAGCGCTTGGGAGCGCCTGGGAGCGCCGGGAAGCGCCCCCGGGCGCCGAGGAGCGCCTGGGGGCGCCGGGGAGCGCTTGGGAACGCCTGGGAGCGCTTGGGAGCGCCTGGAAGCGCTTGGGAGCGCTTGGGAACGCCTGGGAGCGCCTGGGAGCGCCGGGGAACGCCCCCGGGCGCCAGGGAGCGCCCCGGAGCGCCTGGGAGTGGAGCGCTGCAAGCCCGAAAGGGTGAGCGCGCCCAAATGGTTCATTTATGATTTGGCCTCTCGGGGCCTTCTTGGGGGCCTTTTAAAAGCACTCCTTGGGCGTCTCGGGGGCCTCGTGGCCGTCTTGAGGCCATCCTGGGCATCTTGGGGCGATCTTGGGCCGTCTCGGGCCCCTAGCACGGATGACTCCAGGGGCTGCCTCGGGGCCTTCTTGGGGGCCTTTTAAAAGCACTCCTTGGGCGTCTTGGGGGCCTCGTGGCCGTCCTGAGGCCATCCTGGGCATCTTGGGACGATCTTGGGCCGTCTCGGGCCCCTAGCCCGGAGGCTGCGCTCCACTTCGAGCCTCGCGGCACGGTGGCGGATATTGTATGTTGTGTTATTTGCATCACCGTGTTCTGATTCGCTCTTCCTCACTGTCGATTAACTCCGCGATTGCACTCGGAGTTTGAAAGAGTGCCAGAGCAAGCAGCACATGGTGCAGATTCGCGGCTAGCCTGGCGGTGGCTAGCAGGCAGTCTTCTGCAAGGGCCGTGCCGCGCTTTTCAGCGCCGCGCCCAGGCCCCGGCGTAGTACGCAGGGACAGTCTGTGGCTCGGTAGTTCAGCGCGTCGGCCCGCGCAGAGGGCGCATAGGATGCTGTGTTCGAGCGAGAGTAGGCGCGAGATGCCGAGTCAGCCCGGAAGTTTTGTACTAAATGCCAGTCATCGCGGAATAATCGTCATCTGTATTTCTACGACGCGGATGCAGCGGCATTGCTAAGAGAAGCCTTCCCCAGTCTTCTGGGGGTCACTGGGGGTCTTCCTGTGGCCTCTGGGAGGCGTCTTGGGGGTTCCCTGGGGCGGGCGCCTCGAAATGTCGGTTTGTATTCCCCCTCTTGGGCCCCTCCTGAGGCCATCTTGGGCCGTCTTGGCGGTTTCTGGAGTCGTCTTGGGGTTCTCTTCGGCCGTCCCGGGGCCCTCTCGATGACCTCTCGGGCCGTCCTGGGGCGATCTTGGACGCCTCTCGGGCCGTCTTGGAGCGCTGGAAGCCCGAAAGGGTGAGCGCGCCCAAATGGTTCATTTATGATTTGGCCTCTCGGGGCCTTCTTGGGGGCCTTTTAAAAGCACTCCTTGGGCGTCTTGGGGGCCTCGTGGCCGTCTTGAGGCCATCCTGGGCATCTTGGGGCGATCTTGGGCCGTCTCGGGCCCCTAGCACGGATGACTCCAGGGGCTGCACTCCACTTCGAGCCTCGCGGCACGGTGGCGGATATATACATATAACGGCGCGCCGGGTCCGGGGACCCGGGGTCGGGACCACGACCACAAATGTGGGGGCCGGGGGCTCTGGAGGCGCCGGAGGCCCACAGAATGCCATTAGAAAGCGTCAGGAGAGCCCCAAGACGCTCCAAGAGAGACCCGAGACACCCAAAGGTCGCTCTAAGACGCCCAGCATTGCCTCCGGACGGCTTCAGAAGCCCCCAAGACGCCCCAAAAGGCGTCCAAGCCGCGCCCGAAGAGATCTCCAAAAGGCAAAAATAGCCCCGTTCCCTTCGTAAAACGTATATTTTTACTACATCAATTGTTTTCGCTGCCGTACAGTTCATGACGACGCCGGAGGCCCCCAAGACAGCCCCAAGCCAGCCCAAGAGGCGCCCCAGAGGGCCCCAAGACAGCCCAAGAGAGCCTCAAGACGGCCCAAGAGGCGCCCAGAACAGCCCAAGTGCGGCCCTGAGGCCCACAAAAGGCTACCAGAAAGGACTCGGGACGTTCCAAACGCGACCCGAGACGCCCAATGGTCGCACCAAGACGCCCAACATCGCCCCAGACGGCTTCAGAAGCCGCCAAGACGCCCCAAAAGGCCTCCAAGACGCGCCCGAAGAGATCTCCAAAAGGGCAAAATAGCCCCATTCCCTTCGCAAAACGTATATTTGTACTACCTCAATTGTTTTCGCTGTCGTATAGTTCTTGACCACATATATGTGGTTTTCCTATGTGCATCTCTCTCTCTCTCTCTCTATCTCTACGTACCTCTACTTCTCTCCCAGTATTCCTTTCGCTTCCCCTTGCTTTGCTCTTTGTATATCGCGTATGCGTATCTAGTGGCCTTCGGCCAAACCCACCACCGTGCCTGGGTCGTGGACAAGAGGCCTGTTTGGGAGGCTTCGTAGGGTCTCTTGGGAGGCCTCTCGGGGGCCTCTTGGAGGCATTTGCTGGCGGTCTCGGGGGCAATATTTTGGGGAAGGGCTCGAAAAGCTAGTTCGGGTTCCCCGTCTTCGGCCCCTCTTGGGGGCCTCTTGGGCCTTCTTGGCGGGGGCCTCTTGGGCTGTCCTTGGGCCGTGGTGGGGCGATGTTGGGGGCCTCTTGGGCCGTCTTGGCCGTTCGGACGTCCGAAAGGGCGAGAAAGCCCAAACCCATCAGCAACTTAATGAGAACCAATGAATCCCACCAGCCCTCTGGGCGTAAGTGCTCTAACGAGTTCTTCCCAACCCCCTCTTCCCTTCGGGGAGGGGTGCCCCTCCCCTCCCCTCCCTGAGGTTTTCTGCCCCCCCCCGGCGATGGGTTAGAGGTTCCTTTTTCACCCAAGGTGGCTCCAAGAGGGCATCCGATGCTCCAAGATGGCCTCTAAGATGGCTCAGAGATAGCTCAAGATGGTTCAAGCTGGCCTCCGTCATCCCTCCAAAAGGCCCAACGAGAGCCACAAAAGTGTTCCAAGTGCTCTCGGAGCCCCCAAGGACCCCCACTCCAAGATGCCCAAACGCTTCAAACATTTTTGTTCAGCGGAGATGCGAGCGAACCGCACTCGGTCGGCAGGGCAATGCCAAACGCTTCAAACACCTAAGGACAATTATCCCGGCAAAGCAACCTAACAGCGATGTGTAGAAGCATATCTGAAAGCATTCCCCTTAAGATTCAGATGACAATCCAGTTGTCGAATTCTGCTGTTCTCGCAGTCGTAGTCGCATTCGCGATGACAGTCGCAGCGGCAACGGCAGTCGCAGTCACAGCCTCAGCCTCAGCCTGCCTCCTCCTCCTCCTCCTCTCTCCTGCTCCTCCTCCTCCTCCTCCTCCTCCTCCTGCTCGTCCTCGTTCTCGTCCTCCTCGTCTTGCTCGTCCTCCTCCTCCTGGTGCTCTCTCCTCCTCCTCCTCCTCCTCCTCCTCCTCCTCCTCCTCCTCCTGGTGGTCCTCGTTCTCCTCCTCCTGGTGCTCTCCCCCCCCCTCCTCCTCCTCGTCCTCCTCCTCCTCCTCCTCGTCCTCCTCCTCCTCTTCCTCCTCCTCCTCCTCCTCCTCCTCCTCCTCCTCCTGGTAGTCCTCCCCCTCCCCTCCTCCTCCTCCTCCTCCTCTTCCTGGTCGTCCTCGTTCTCGTCCTCCTCGTCTTGCTCGTCCTCCTCCTCCTGGTGTTCTCTCCTCCTCCTCCTCCTCCTCCTCCTCCTCCTCCTCCTCCTCCTGGTGGTCCTCGTTCTCCTCCTCCTGGTACTCTCCCCCCCCCTCCTCCTCCTCCTCGTCCTCGTCCTCCTCCTCCTCCTCCTCCTCCTCCTCTTCCTCCTCCTCCTCCTCCTCCTCCTCCTCCTCCTCCTGGTACTCCTCCCCCTCCCCTCCTCCTCCTCCTCCTCTTCCTGGTCGTCCTCCTCCTCCTGGTCGTCCTCCTCCTCCTGCTCGTCCTCCTCCTCCTCCTGCTCGTCCTTCTTCTCCTGCTCCTCCTGCTCCTCGTCCTGCTCCTGCTCGTCCTCGTCCTCCTGGTCTTGCTCGTCCTCCTCCTCGTCGTGCTCTTGCCCCTGCTGAAAATGTGGCCCAGGAATGGGAGTTCTGGGAAGTCGAAGAGCACGAAGTTGCCTACAGTTGGCTACGGGCATTCAAAATGTGGCCCGGGAATGGAGTTCTGGGAACTCGAAGAGCACGAAGTGGCCTACAGTTGGCTCCGGGCATTCAAAATGTGGCCCGGGAATGGAGTTCTGGGAACTCGAAGACCACGAAGTGGCCTACAGTTGGCTCCGGGCATCCAAAATGTGGCCCGGGAATGGAATTCTGGGAACACGAAGAGCACGAAGTGTGTGACTGTTGCATCCGGCCCTCCAGAATGTGGCCCGGGAATGGAGTTCTGGGAACTCGAAGAGCACGAAGTGTGTGACTGTTGCATCCGGCCCTCCAGAATGTGGCCCGGGAGTGGCGTTCTGGGATCTCGCAGAGCACGAAGTGTGTGACTGTTGCATCCGGTTATTCAGAATGAGCCTGGGAATGGAGTTCTGGGAAGTCGAAGAGCACGAAGTGTGTGACTGTTGGTGAAAAACGAGTTCGGCACAGGCCCGCCCGGCAACTCCCAACACCTGCCCGGACCCCCCTGTGGAGTGATCTGTGACCTCTTTTGACACTACTAGAAACCTATCAGTCTTCGATGTTAGGTAATATATCATGTGTACCTTCTCGCCTTTTTGCTTCCGATGGGCTTCGGCAGCCCCGAGATGTCCCCAAGATTGCCCAGGAGAGCCACAAATCCGTAGCCATCTGGGCTCAAGGAATTGTGCTCACGTTGTTTCAGTTGAAAAGAGCTTCACGTGTTTGGTGGCGCGCCAATCACTCCCAACACCAGCGGCGCAGCAATGCCAGTTAACGATACCATCGAGAAGATCGTCATGGTGGTTGGCGAGTCTGGCGTGGGGAAGTCAACAATCATCAATATGTTGTACAACCAGGACACCACGGAATCCTGCTGTCAGGGACCCGCCCACACTGGGTCTACGGCGAATTCTGTAACGAAGCACTCGACGCTCCACATCAATATGCAGCGTCGATGGTGTTTCGTAGATACTGTCGGAGTTGGTGATCCGGAGTTAGGCACTGATGAGATCTTGGGGGCAATTGTTGACGCTTCGCGTATCCCCACCAGCCCATCCAGAAACGATGCTCAGGGGAGTTGAGGTGATCAGGGAAGTCGGGGAGCATGCAGAATAACAAAGGGCGGGGGAAGCTGTCACAGACCCCGAGAGGGGGAGGATGGAAGAGGAGTCGTCGTCGTCGTCGTCGTCGTCGAGGAGGAGGAGGAGGAGGAGGAGGAGGGAAGAGGAGGAGGAGGAGGAGGAGGAGGAGGACGGAGAAGGAGGAAGAATCGGAGGAGGAGGAGGAGGAGGGGAAGGAGCTTCTTGGGGGTCTTTTGAGGGCCTCTTGGAGGGCTTTTTGGGCGCCTTGGGGCATCTTGGGCGCCTCTTGGGACCCTCTTGAGGCGCTCTGGGGAGCCTTCGGGGCGCTTTTGGGGCCATCTTGGAGGGAGTCGATCAAACAAGAGGGGGGGTTTAATTAGCGCCCCCCCTCGGAAGCCCCTAAAATCGCCTCTTGGACCCCTCTTGGAACGCTCTTGGAGTGCTCTTGGGCGCTCTTGGGGCCGTCTTGGGGCTCTTTTGGGGCTCTCTTGGGGCCCTCTTGGGCCATCTTGGAGCCATCTCCAGGCCTCGGATGGCCATCGGAAGCGAAAAGGCGAGAAAGCAAAAATCATTGATTTTCCTTAGGTTTTGGGACGATTTTGGCCTCTTCGGGGCCTCCTTGGGGAGCTGTTTGGCCACTTGGAGTTATCTTGGGGCCGTCTTTGGGCTTCTTGGAACCATCTTAGGAGCCATCGTGAGCGATCTTGCGCTATCTTGAGCCATCTTGGAGCTCATCTTGGGTTCTCTGAGGCGCTCTTGGAGCCGTCTTGGGCCATCTTGGACGCTCTAACTACCCGCGGCCCCCCCCGTCCAGGTCCAGGGGAGGGGGTAGGGGGAGGGGTAAACCCCTCCCCAAGGGGGAAGAGGGAGGGGTGGAAGAGGATCTGTTCTAGACCACCTACGCCCAGAGGGCTGGTGGGATTCGTGCCATGCTGGCCCAGCTTTCACGTGGAGTGGATGCCATCGTGCTGGTCATGAAGATGGAACGCGTGCCCATGGCATCGCGTGTGAATATCCATGTCCTGCAAAGCATATTCCGCGACGGGGACATCAAAACCAACGGGGTGCTCGTGTTGACCCACTGGGACGGCGAGCTCGGGGAAGAAGCCGAGGCTCTCCGAGCATGGTTGCAGGGTGATGACGCCATGAATGCTGTTGTCGACAGCTTCGGCAAGGTGATCCTCACGAACAACAAGATTGGTAGGCGTGGCGCTTACCCTGAGTGCAGGCGGGAATGCCTCGTGAAGCTCAATGAGGTCATTGGTGCGAATCGACCTAGGATCTACGCACGTCCCGTTAGCGTCAAGGATATCCTCATCGATCTGTTGGCAAAGTTCGCGGGATTTTGGGTAAGGGGGGCAGCGAGCTTGCATAAGTTGTTCAGGAGTGATGAGGACGCGCTTCCGACGTTTTGTGGTGAATGCGCGGTGTGTCTTGAGGCAGTCGAGCTCTTGGCAGTGTGCAAATTGCCTTGCGATCACACTTTCCACATGTCTTGCATCAGCAGCCAGGCATCTTGCCCGACATGCCGCCACGCTTTCGATTTGCATGTGGATTGCTTTTCGTTCTTCTCAATATGAGGGTGGTCAAGCCTCCGTCTCTAAGTCCCCGTGTGGGCCAGCATTGTGTTTCCCATGCATATGCGTATGTGCAGTCAAGAACCACACGAACCCCCGAATGGTGTTGTACGCCAGGATTTTTGTGTACATAGGCAAATGAGCACGTTTTGCGTGCTTCTGCAATCGCCGATCCCTACCTCTCACTGGGATCTGAGCCACTAGGTTCCTGCTCGTTCGCAATTCTAGACGCTTCGCGTATCCCCACCAGCCCGTCCAGAAATGAGTCCCAGGGGAGTGGAGGTTATGAGGGAAGCGGGGGAGCATGCAGAAGAACAAAGGGCGGGGTGAGCCGCCATATACCCCAAGAGGGGGAGGATGTAGGAGGAGCCGTCGTCGTCGGAGTAGGAGGAGGAAGAGGAGGAGCAGGAGGAGGAGCAGGAGGAGGAGGAGGAGGAATAGAAGGAGGAGGAGATGGAGGACTGCGAGGACGAGGAGGACGAGAAGGAGGAAAAGGAGAAGGAGGAGGAGGAGGAGGAGGAGGAGGAGGAGGGGGAGGGGGAGGAGGGAGGAGGAAGAAAAAGAGGAGGAGGAGGAGGACAATTGCGAGCTTGGGGGCCTCTTGGGCCGTCCTTGGGGCCTCTTGGCGGTCCCGGGGGCCTCTTGCGTATCTCGGGGAGCCTCTTGTGGCCTCTTGGGGGTCTCTTGGGGGCCTCTTGGAGGCCTCTTGGGGGCCTCTTGGGGCCTCTTGGGGCCCTCTTGGGGCGCTCTTGGGGCGCTCTTGGGAGCCTTCGAGGCGCTCTTGGGGCCATCTTGGAGGAGATCTATCAAAGAAGGGGGGGTCCCCAATTAGCGCTGCCCCTCTAGAGTGCCTCGAGTCGCCTCTTGGGCCCCCCCAAGAGGCCAAAATCCTTCCAAAACCTAGGTAAAATCAATGTTTTTTGTTTTCTCGCCTTTTCGCTCTTGGACCCGTCTTGGGAGCCTCTTGGGCCTCTTGGGGGTCTCTTGGGAGCCTTTTGGAGGCCTCTTGGGCGCCTCTTGGGGCCTCTTGGGGCGCTCTCGGGGCGCTCTTGGGGCGCTCTTGGGAGCCTTCGGGGCGCTCTTGGGGCCATCTTGCAGGAGATCGATCAGAGAAGAGGGGGTCCCCAATTAGCGCTGCCCCTCTAGAGTGCCTCGAGTCGCCTCTTGGGCGCCCCAAGAGGCCAAAATCCTTCCAAAACCTAGGTAAAATCAATGTTTGTTGCTTTCTCGCCTTTTCGCTCTTGGAGCCGTCTTGGGTCATCTTGGACTCTCTTGGGGCCTCTTGGGGGTCTCTTGGCAACGTCTTGGAGGCTTCTTGGGGGCCTCTTGGGGTCTCTTGGGGCCCTCTTGAGGCGCTCTTGGGGCGCTCTTGGGAGCCTTCGGGGCGCTCTTTGGGCCATCTTGGAGGAGATCTATCAAAGAAGGGGGGGTTGCTTATTAGCCCCGCCCCTCCAGAGTGCCTCGAGTCGCCTCTTGGGCCCCCCCAAGATGCCAAAATCCTTCCAAAACCTAGGTAAAATCAATGTTTTGTGTTTTCTCGCCTGTTCGCTCTTGGAGCTGTCTTGGGCCATCTTGGACGCTCTGACACCTCGCGACCGGCCCCGTCCAGGTCAGTGGGGAGGGGTAAGGGGAGGGGTAAACCCCTCCCCGAAGGGGAAGAAGGGGGTTGGCAGAGGAAACTCCCTAGACCACCTACGCCCTAAAGGGCTGGTGGGATTTCGCTTGCGAAGCGATGCTGCTTAAATGGTGCTGTACGCCGAATTTCTTGTGCACGTAGGCAGATCTCAAATGGTGTTGTACGCCGAGTTCCCTGTGCAAGTATGTAGATGAGCTCCGTGTCTGTACCACTGCCATCGCCGATCCCTCCCTATCTCGGGATCTAAGCTACTAGGTTCCTGATTGCTCGCGGTTTCGTTGCAAAGCGATACAGCATGCGACCAGTCGACCGCTCGAGCCCCTTGCCGCGGAGTCGAACAAAAAAACGATTGCCCAGGAGAGTCACAAGAGGGGACCCGAGAGGCCCTCAACACGGCCCCAAGATCGCCCAAAAACGTCCCAAGAGGGCCCCAAGAGGCGATTTAGATGGGAACGGGGGGGGGGGGACAGACGTTAAGGACCCCCCTCCTTTGGTCGATGGCCTTCAAGATGGGCCCAAGCGGCCCTCCAGGGCCCCCAAGAGGACCCCACGAGACCCCCAAGAGAGCCCAAAAGAGCCCAGGAGGACCCCGATACCCCCCAAATAGCCCCTAGAGGGCCCCGAGAGAGCTCTAAGAGGACCCCACGAGGGCCTCAAGAAGACTCCAATATTGCTGCCAGAGTCCTCGTCCTCCTCCTCGTCATCCTCCTCCTCGTCATCGTCCTCCTCCCCCTTCTCGTCGTCCTTATCGGCGTCCTCTTGTCCTCTTCGTCGTAAGATGGCTCCAAGTGTCGTCGTCGTCGTCGTCGTCCTCCTCCTCCTCCTCCTCCTCCTCCTCCTCCTCCTCCTCCTCCTCCTCCTCCTCCTCCAGAGTCTCCCAAAACCGCTCCAAGACGGCCGAAGAGGCCCCCAAGACCGCCCCAAGACGGCCCCAAAGACCTCCAAAATCGTCCCAAGACGGCCCAGGAGAGCCCCAAGATGGCCCAGGAGCCGCCCAAAACGGTTCGAGGAGAGCCCCGACAGGGCTTCAAGACTGCCTAAGCGAGCCCAGCGGGCCCCAAGAGGGCCCCGCGAGGCCCCAAGAGGGCCCCAAAGAGGCCCCCAAAAGCCTCCCTGGAGGCCCCCGAGAGGCCCCCAAGATGCCCAAAAATTGCCCTGAGCGCGCCCCAAGACGTTTCCAGGAGAGCCACACAGGCCTCCGAGAGGCCCCCAAGGGGCCCACTGGAGGCCCTCAGGAGGTCGTCCCCATCATGTTCCCGGAAGGCGGTCCGGGAACATGATTCCGCGCCTTGGAGGAGTATTCTGCGCCTTCCGAGGCGCCTTCCGAGGCGCCTTGGACGACGTACGTATGTTTCTATAGCTTGTCCTTCTCCTGTGTACACAATCCTACATGTCTTACGTATGTTTCCATATATATATGTATATATATATATACATATATATATATATATACTTATGCATATATCGGAGTCGGGCCCGGGGGCGGCCCGGGGCGGTGCCTGTAATCTCCATGGGGGTGCAGGGCGCCCCCGGGAGCGTCCGAAGCGTCCCGGAGGGCCCCTGGGACCGCCAGGAACAGATCGAGACCGCCGAAAACGGCCCGCGAGCGCTCCAAGACGCGTATAGATAGCCTCAGGAATGGCCAGGAAGCCCCGAAGACGTTCCAAGAGAGCTCCATGAGGCCCCGAAGGCATCCCAAGAGGCCTCCCAAGAGAGCCGCGACAAGCCCAAATCGTTGATTTTTATAGTTTTTTTTCTAGGCTTTGGGCCTTCTCGCTTTTTCAGGGTTCCGACGCTCCAAGACCGTCCAAGAGTCTCCCAAACCGCTCCAAGACGGCCGAAGAGGCCCCCAAGACCGCCCCAAGACGGCCCAAGAGACCCCCAAAATCGTCCCAAGACGGCCCAGGAGAGCCCCAAGATGGCCCAGGAGCCGCCCAAGATGGTTCCAGGAGAGCCCCGACAGGGCTTCAAGAATGCCTAAGCGAGCCCAGCGGGCCCCAAAAGGGCACCGCGAGGCCCCAAGAGGCCCCAAACAGGTCCCCAAGAGCCTCCCTTGAGGCACCCAAGAGGCCCCCACGATGCCCAAAAATGACCCTGAGCGCGTCCCAAGACGCCTCCAGGAGAGCCCAACAGGCCTCCGAGAGGCCCCCAAGAGGCCCACTGGAGGCCCTCAGGAGGTCGTCCCCATCATGTTCCCGGAAGGCGGTCTGGGAACATGATTCCGCGCCTTGGAGGAGTATTCTGCGCCTTCCGAGGCGCCGTGGACGAAGTACGATTCATATTCTTGAACGCTTTCCGGGAACATGATTTCTCACCATTTCGGAACGCTTTCCTACTGCTGCGGTGCTCTGGGGGGAAGGGACGGGGGTCCGGGAACATGATCGGGAGGTTAGGGAACGAGGGTTTGGAGAGGAGCAGTAGGACAGACGGACGGGGCCCGGGGGCGGGGGTGGGGTGGTGCCACCGGTTGGCATGGCCGCCCCGGGCGTCCTGTGGGGTCCACGAACCCGCCCAAGACGGCCCATGAGGCCCCAACGACAGCCCAAGAGACCCACAAGACAGCCTCAGCGAGGCCCAAGAGGGCCCCAAGACGCTCAAGAGCGCCCCAACAGCGCCCGAGATGGCTTGAAGATGGCCGAAGAGGGCCCCAAGAGGGTCTTCAAGAGGCAAACACCGGCCCATTCCCATTCGTAAAACATGCGTTTTCAGCATACTCGTTTGCTTGGTCCTCACAGTACCGCAGACGCCCCCGAGCCCCAAGACAGCCCAAGAGAGACCCAAGAGGGCCCACGACGGCCCAAACGGGTCGTCCTGTGAGGCTCACGGAACCCCCCAAAGACGGCCCAAGAGGCCCCAAAGCCGGCCCAGGAGGCTCCCAAGACGGCCGCAGGAAGGCCCGAGATGGCCTCGTTCGAAATCATGTTCCCAGAAGCCTCTCTGGGAACATGATTTCCGGACTTCTAGGACGCCCAAGAGGGCCCCAGGACGGCCCCAAGAGGGCCTTAAAAGGACCTTCGAAAAGGCCCGGATGGCCACAGTTCGTTGATTTGCGTGAGATGTCGTTGGATTTCTTCCGCGCGGAGGAGACGGAGAGGGCGAAGGAGGAGGAGGAGGAGGAGGAGGAGGAAGAGGAAAAGGAGGAGGAGGCAGGGAGGAGGAGTGGAGGGGAGGAGGGGGGGAGAGAGGAGGAGGCTCGAGGGCGATCGACGATCGGCGACGACGACCGGCGACGGTGATTGACGACGACGACGACGACGACGACGACGATCACGACGACGACGACGATGTCGACGACGACGACGATCGACGACGGTCGACGACCGACGACGACGACGATCGACGAGGATGACAATAGTCGACGGCGCCG